ATGAAAATAGTAAGTTATTAAGTCTGCCATTAAAATCGGTCTCCAAATTTGTGAGGTTCAAGAAAGGCCATGAGGAATCACAGTGAAGAACAAGCAGAGTTATCACTGATCAAACAGGAAGCTTTTAAACAAATAACCTAAAATAAATCACAGTCCCTCCTTTCCCCACCTCAACTCGCAGCAGCAATTTAAAGGGATTTTCAAAACATCTAATGAAACTGAACTGCCAAGAATGCTCAGACAAGAATCATAAATGAAAGCTAGAGCAAAACAGTTTTTTTTAAGTAGTACAGATTAAAGTAGCAAGAACTACGTACAAAAATTCCAATGTGGCTGATTTATTTAAATATATTTCGTGGAAACTACAAATATAAGGCTTTAGATAAACACCTCGCTGGAAAGGTGAGTGAAAAAGTTTCAGTTTCTCCACTGTACTTACCCCCTTCCCCAACATTCCTCTAAAATAATACCAAATTTACTGCTTTTATATCAAGTACAGCATTGTTGAATTTCAAGCCTACCAAGGTTACCAAAATGCTTTTAGGCTGTGAGGTTGTTACATCGGTATCTGGGGTTTCAGTTGCAGAACACACAATCAAGGCAGCCAAGGGTCATGCCAGCCTCCAGTGGCTTTAATAAGCATAGCTCAAAGGAGTCTAAAACTAGGCTTAGGAAACATCACTAAGGAGACAGGGAAAGCAGTAAAGTGAAATCTCTGGAGACCAGATTATTTAGACAAAGGTCTGAAAAAGGAAATTAGGAAGCTGAGATGAATGCAAACTTTGACCACTCAAAAAGTCAAAGGTCAGAAAATACTTCTCTGAAATAAAGCTGGGAAAAAGTCATATAAATTTGACTCATATATATATATTTATATATGAGTAGGGAAGACATATATACCAGGGAAGCCCTGAGTCCTCAGTCCTAGTTTTAAGGCATTAAGCTGTAAAAATGTCAGAGCTAAAGCTTCAGGCAATATGCTACAAAGAGAACCCAGCACAAGATGACAGTAAGTATTCATACATGCACACATGATGGGGTGGTGTTTCCTTCAACCAGGAGTAATAACAAAGATGCAAAATAGTTTCCTGAAGCATAAAACACAGGACTTACTTAAAAATCTCAATATACTTAATTGGGTAAGTAATAATTTTAACTGCAGAGACTTTAAACAAATGTTTCTACCTCTGTCTTCTGCTTACCACACCTTATCTCCTCATTTTCCAACTATAGTCAGTAATTCTCAGAGGGAAGGAAGCAGAAAGTATGGTAGAGCAAAAGGTGGGTGAACCACACAGAATCCTCTTCAGGCTTTTAAACAGGACATAACATTGCAATCCACCTCAACTGGAGAATCACTGCATATAATTATACAGTATTGGTGGTGGTGTCTGGTGCATGTGTGAAGGCAGACACAGGGACAGAATCACTGCCCTAAAACCCTAGGACCTCTGAAATGTGATAGTTAAGGAAAGTTATTCATTTAACTTTTTCTTATTAATAACTTTTTTCATAATTTCCAAGGCACTTTCATATCTATTTCATTTGAGTTAGAAAATATTCCCTTACTTAGGAATACTTTGTCTACTTCATCATAAAATAATAGCACAGGGCAAAATAATAAAGCTCTTAATGCGTCGGGCAAAAATTTAACTTAACAAAAGTATTTTTACTTGAACAGAACTCAAAATCCTTTGGAACCTCAAAACCAGTACACACATTTAAGAGAGCATTATTATGGCCTTCTAGACTGTAAACTCCCTGAAGACAAGCAACTATATCTTATCCTTATCTCCCACAATTCCCTGAACAATGCAGGTCCTTAGCTGAATACAGTGGATTAGCTTATATCCATTTACTGATTAATTCACTCAACATTTATTGATCAGTGAATTCCTACTCAGTGTCAGGCTCTATGTTGGCTCAAGTTTTTTTAAATGACTCTAAATTTTAGCCCTTAATAATATCAAAGAAAATGATCACCATTCCTATGTCCTTTCTCTTATTCTTGATTATTAATTTGACTGGAATGACATATTTCTATATGTCTCAAGTTTCAAATGATAGGCATATATATAAGTGTAGATAACGTTAATATAATGTCTAAAATCCATTTCCCTTCTACCTTGCCCTGAGAAACAATTTTATCACAACCATTATACTGACAGTAATGATATCATTTGACAATCACCTCAGTCACAGTTGCTAGATTGGAGCCCATCTTTTTCAGCAAGACCAAGCAGCAACTGACCCTTTGTTTTGACTAATCAGCTTTAGTTTAAGGTTGTACCAAATCCTACTGTCTTTCCTGCCTCCTTAAAGTATAAACCAAACATATTAAACTGTGATAGCAACACCAGGGTGAACCATATTTGTATAGCACACTAGAATTTGTGGAGTTCACAAACTGTATGTTATGACCTTCAGTCCTCAAAACTCATGTGACATATGACAGAACAAGGGCTCAAAGCTGTGGATTCCCAATGCCTATCCAAAGTGGCAGGGCAGGGATTCTGGGTCTGAACCCAGGTCCCCTGATGCCCATAGCCCAGTCTCTCTTTACCACAGCTTCCTCCTTGCTATGCCCATGCTCAGAAAGTTATGCATACTGAAAGTAATAAACCCATGAAAGTTCATGCAGTTAAATAGTAGAAAGTGGTTATCAAAAGTGTCAACAGAGCTTCAGGGAAAAAAACAAAGCTCTCTCTGAGACCTAAACTGGTCAGATGTAGAAAAACAAAATGGCGAATAGATGGTGTGAAAAATAATTTAGTGTAGACTTAAATTTGATGATAAACACAAATCTGAAATTCATAAATCCTCAACCACCATAATTTATACCTGGCCCACATCCTGTTTGTTTGCTTTAGAAATAAATGGAAATTTTCTAAATCTCTTTTTAAAACCAGAATTGGAAAAAAAAAACAAAACTATGATATTGTTCTTCATGAAGTCCGACATTCCATAATACAAACTAAGAAACAAGTAACTGAAACACTCATTTGATATATGATGCTCCGACAAGAAAGATAGGTAAAAATAAATGTAGGTCTTCTATTAACATTTAACTTAATGCTAAACAGAGAAGAGCACCCAGATTTGAGAGCGGAAACACTGCTGTTTTTTAAAAATTGTACAAATAAAACTCTGCATAACTTGTATAGGTATTTACCATTAACCTTTCAGATAAGAAAATTCGAAGTCCCAAAGATCAGCAGTAGAATAATAAGTTATTCAATAGCCAATGAATTAACTTCTTCACATTGACTTGAATGGTTACTATGGGGCAGGTACTAAACTGGGCATATTCAGATACAAAGAGAAGGTGGAACACTATAGAAGACATGTAAACAGTATGACATTCCCAATCATCTTGCTATACCGGAGGTACATCATCACGTTACTGTAAATAGCAACCATTCAGATGCCATAGTTGTCCTTAGTCTACCACCTCTGTTAATATGCTTTTTCTGTTCTAGTGTCACTAGTAAGTTGTTCAAATTTTTCCCAAATGCCAGGGGAAAAAAAACCTACCTTTATTCAAGAATTATAGTGTAACTTGAAAAGACCTTTCCTGCACCCATGAAATCTGTAGGAAAAATGGAGGGCTTTTTTGTTTTTTGTTTTTTTTGCTTTGACAGAATTCGTTTCAGTGGTCAGGTATGACTGATGGTCTGTTTTACTTAACAGCTTTTTCCCTTGCTAGATACAACAGGGTCTGGTACATAGAGTATATACTTGTTGAATGAATGAGTTATTCCTATTATCTATGGCTCTTTACATTAAGGATATATATCCAAGAATTTTTAACTTTGACTGACTGCTTTTAAACTTGAAATAAAGAAAACCCCGGATGTTTTACATCAGTCAGAGCTTCCTGTGAAAGCAATCATTCCATATGTGTAAACAGTAGCATGTGCAAGGTGTACAGTTACGCGAGGACATCTTGGGTGTCATCTCTACCTCCCATATTTCTCTTAAGTCCCACTGTTAGAAGAGCAGAATTGTAAAACGTCAGGAGGGTTCAATGTAGCCTGTATCTACATGCTGAGAATTCTCTTTGTAAACTAATTACTTTTCCACTGATATCATTTCTTTATCGAGGCAAGTACCATTTAGAATTAACATTCAGAGAAGAACCAGAAAATAACAGTCATACACAAATTCTGCTTAGGAAAGCTGTGATTGTCACCAGATTGCCCAGGAACCTGTTGTCCATCTTCCCCTCAGAGTACCAAATTCAATTTCTATTTAAAGGGCCACTGCTTTTCTTTTGCAGGAAAAAATAGTTGCCAGTTTGGAGAAAATCCCTTTTCAAAGGTTCGAAGACAGCTACCCGCTTGAAACTGTTAAAATAATGTTTGCTGAGAAAACGATCTATCAGCTCTTTCTGAGTCTGGACTGGGGCCACATGGCATGATTTGGGGGTACCGCCTTCAGTCCTGTGTGCCAAGTTTGAGATCTCATAAAAGTAGAAGGCGAAAGAATGGGCACAGTGGGCACCTGCCCAGTCTGCCGGGAGCCTGCAGGGCCACTGTCTGCTCGCAACTTCGTCAGCCTTTCCCTCCCGGGCATACGGTCCACGCGCCTCCCGGCTCAGACCGACGACCCTCAGGCCAGAGCAGACGGGGGACCAGCGGAAGCCCTTTGGCCCCGGGAACGGCCCCTGGGGCCCAGAGGCACAATCTGGGGGGTGCGGACTCGGAGGGGGCTCTCCGACCACCCTCCCCGGAGGGCTCGGGCGCTCCCAACGGCAGCGCGGCGGTCCCTCAGCCCGCACCAGCCGCACCCTCCCAACCCGACCGGCAGCCCTCGCCACGCCCCGCGCCCCCGGGGCGGACCCGATGGGCCGGCGAGGGCCCCCCGGGCAGCGTTCCTCCGGAGAGTCCCCGGCGCGGAAGTGCGGCCTAGTCGGGATTACATAACGGGGCCGGACCCCTCCGGAGCCCAGCGGGGGACGCGGGGCCCGCGCAGGCGGAGGCGGGGGTGCCGCCGCTCACCTGCCATAGATGCCCTCCGTGATCCGGTTCCGCTTTAGGGGGCGGCGGAGCTTACTGCAGTCGGCGTTCCGCCGCTTCATCCTCCCGCTGGGGGGCCGGGTGCCCGCGCCGCCGCCGTCTCTCACCTCAGCCGCCGCCGGCCCTCCCCGCGTCGGGCCTGGACTCTACCCCTGGGGCCGGTCACACAGACATGGAGCCAGCACCCGGGGGGAGGGGGTGAGACAGGCAGGGGGCGCGTTCAGAGCCTCCTCCGCCTTCGGAAACAAAGAAATGACAATTCCGGGGCCCGCCCGCCCCAGCACCAGCAGCAGCCTGCCCCGCCTCCTCGCTCCGACGGACGGCCTTCGAGACCAATCGAAGACGCCGCTTCGCCGCTGCAGCCCAATTCCAGAACCCGCTGAGGCAAAATGAACCCTAGAACCCGCCTCCTTGAGAGACAGAAGAATGTACCAATCATTATGGGTCTGGGCCCGTGCCTGGGCCTATCAGAAAAGATTTAAATAGAGGCTTATAAATAGGCCCTATAAATATAACATCCTATATTATGCCTTGTAGCGAAGGTACGCCTCATTATTATTGGGTTGCATTTCATTGTATTATAATCCATACTACGGCAGACTGTGCTAGATTCACTGTAAGCTATCACTAGCGCCACATGAGATCGGAGGCCTGGGTTTGCGGCATGTGCTGTTTCTGCGCTGACATGTGCTCCCGTCAGCCGCGTTATTATGTAAGGGGCTCGCAGCATCCTCCCCATCCGGGAGCTCTGGGGGCAGCTCCAGAGTTCCTTTCTGCTGATCCTGGAGCGCTCAGCCAGGCTAGCCCCGTCAGCGCGCCACGAGGGTACGAATGACAAAGCAAACCTACACACACACATACAC